AAAGCTCTGCCAGCAAATCTTCCAGTAGTAGCTGAGGGACCCAGCTTTACTCACAGATGAAAACTGTCATATTTGTAAGATTTGCAGTTAGCCCTACTGAGAGTCATGAAGATTAAGAGACTATACATTTTGCAAAATTCTCACTAAAAGTGAAGTCTGAGGCACATAGTATTAGTATTCTTACTTTTCAGATGATATGTGATGCAAATGCACTCACAGTGTTCAAATCTCTTGAACTGATTTATTTATGCACATTTCTATGGCAACTGCTTAGGCTGGGATATCACATCTGTATCCCAGGGCTGAGTGATGCTTATTGACCCTGAGACAATGCCTCATTTTCTCTTTCCTGTAGATTCTCGAGAGAAAACTAAAAAGTGAAAAACTTAAAACTGAGGAAGTTAAAAATCATTTTCTTATATTTTACAAAAAGACAGTATTTTTCTCGTTCTGTACATTGGCCTATTATCTTAAGTATTCCATTTAGAAATGTAACCTGTGTCATTAAAAATGTTTCATGTTAATTAAACACATTTGTGAAGTATTGCATTAGCATCTTTGTAGGTTAATTAAATGATTGTAATTAAGTCTTTTTGAGCAACAAGCACAAAGGTTAGTTTTTAGCTTAAAACTCTGAGATAGATCTTAGTCCATATTTCAATAGAAATTTCTAATTCAAGCTTCAATGTTGGAAAGAGATTCTAGATGATTGCTGTATGCCCTGAAGTTGGAGAATCAGTGATTTAATACCAAGAAGGAATTCAGCAAGAAAACTGATAAGAAGTGTATCAAAAATCTTGAGTTAGAGCAAATTTCTTGTTTTATTATTGTACTCTCAGCAGCTGACAGGCTAGGGGGATTTCCATGATTGCTCAGAGTCAAGCCATTTCTCAGTAATGGGGTTACTTTCTGTCATAAATGTTTTGCACAATACTAAAAGCATTTCTGCTTCATGTATGCTTTCCTACATAATGAAAGTTACATGACAGATTAATTTACCTGGAACTCACAAACACCCATTGAGGAAAGTCCAAACTTAGAGCTAATGAGTTTTCAGGGCTAGTTGTATCAGGATTACCAGGAAACCACAAATAGCAAGATCACATCCCCAGGAATGAATTCCCAGACAGTGACCAATGCAACAACTCTGGGAATGTGCATGGAATGACCTTCAGGGTGGCATTCATACAGCTACTTGGTGACAAGAATTAGTGAGTCAACCACAAATGGGAAGGTCTGAGAGAATGCCTCAATCTCCACTTGAACTCCAGTCTCCTGTGTGGTGTGAACACAAGTAAGTTGAGGTGAGATTAGAATGCAAGCTAGTCCATTAAATCAGGGCTTTGGGATATGGGAATCTAAGAGGCAGCTGAACACAGCGAGAAGATCTACAAAAGCCATTGAGAAAAATCAAATGATATATGTGCCATGCAGCCCCATTGCAGTCATCGGACTTTTTAGGGAAACGAGAGAGCAATGGAAGAACATTACATTGGTAACAGAAAGACTCAGGGTTTTCCACAGTTTTGTCCCTAAAGGACCCTGAGAAACTGGGCAAAATAAACACAACATTCTCTTTTAAAGGAGATGGTGGAACTAAATGATATCTAATTCCCTTTGGAATGTAATTCTATATTCTATATTTTATTTCTTTTTTTTATATTTATGTACTGGGAGTACATTGTGACATTTACCAAAGTTCTTACAAAATATCACAGTGGGATTCACCCCCTCAATCATTCTCCTTTATCCTTCTTTTCCCTATTCCTGGAATAGTTTCTACATGTCTGTTTTCCATTTTCATACACAAGGACATAACATTTCCACCATATTTGCTCTCTTATGCCCTTTCCTTATATTCTCCCCTCTCCCACTGGTGCTACCACCAAGACAGAACCTGTCTTATCCTCCTATTCTCCATGTTTGGAAAAATATATTTTTGTTTATATAAGATAGCTATATAGAGAGTTTCATTGTGACATTTCCATGTATATATGTATTACAACCCTAATTGGTTCATCCTCTCTATTTTTCTTCTTTCTACCTTAGTCCCCTTCTTATGATGATTTCAACAGGTTTGAGAATTCTATATTCATTCAACAAGCATATTCACCTTCTTAACTTCTTATATTCTAAGCTGTATTTTGGTTTTTACAAAGTGACTATCATCTGTCCTTCAGCATCACATTTTGTTTAATGAAGATGTGTACATCTCCTTGTCTTCATATGTCTACATAATGAGCCATCAGTAGGATTAACTACACTGAATTAGGTTCACAGCAAAATAACTCATTTTTTACATTATTTCCTCATTCAATCCCTCTATCAGTATTACAGCCATCTAAATTTATTTTTCACTCATTAATGTTTTACAAGCAATAGCTTCTTTACAAATAATACATATATATTTCCATAAAAATAATAAATATATAAAATTCAACCTAGAGAATGCAAAACAAAATATTATGCCCTCATTCTGGAAAAGCAGTTCAGAGAAAGTAGATGTTCACTGAAGAACCTACCCTGGAGGAAAAGAGGCAGGATTGATGATAGGAAGAGGGTGGAGAAAAGAGATATAACTCAGTATGTTTATTTAGTTTGCCATTTATTTTCAAAGCATCAAAACATCCACTGTCAAAGGTTAGGAAAATGTTCATGGCAAAGGAAGAAAGGAATGGTTTGCAATTAACTTTGAATTTAACTTGTGGTATATTGGATTGGAGCAGAAGATTCAAATTTAGAAATAAAGACATCAAAGCCATTTATGTTTGAAAACAGAATAAGTAGAAAAGAAAGTTTTTAGCTTACACCATTACTGTCTCCCTCTGAATCACTCTTTTAAGAGAAAGTCCAATTGAGTCTACAAGTCATAGCACCCTGAATGTGTCTGATCTTAATAGGTATCAGCAATAAGCAGGGTTGGGCGTGGTTAGTATTTAGATGGGAGAAAGCATATTTGAACATCAAGCTCCTCTTTCCATCTAAGAAAAGATGGCAATGTATTTCTAACCACCAGTTAAAAATGAGAAGCTTGAAATCTCTCACTTTTTGAGTCAGTTCTTGGAATGTTCTCCATTGTTTTTGTAGAGAACACAGATGGATGTTTTAAAGCATGAGAGGGAGGCCTGGTATCTTGTAACAAGTTGCAAAGCAACCGAAAACACAAGATTTTTTCTGTTGTTGCTTAAACTTAAAATATAAAAGACAAATTTCTTTGTTGAGTTGGTTTTTTTGTTTAAAATAAAAATACCCTTGTGATAGGTAGAATATTAAGATGATGTTAATTATAAATATTTTTCTGGGATCAATTTAAAAATTGCCTTTGTAGCTCCTTTCAGTCCCAGGCCCAGTTACTGGCATGTGGAATACATGTGATAATTGCCTATTAAATTTAATAAGGCTTATCTGTTCAATAAATTTATTCTACAGCCACTTTTTAAAAACAGTTTGAGTTTAACATCATTTAACAGACAAATCAGATATTTGTAGTAAAATATTTTCACTTCTTTCTAAGGTCAATGGTAAAGACCATAAAATCAGTATGAGGTTTGCATGAGAAGGCACCATCATAATCTGACTTTGATTTCTAAGATCAAGTATGTTCCCAAACTGCAGTCCTCCTAAGTTCAGGGTCAATAGCTACAGGAAAGAATGTAACTGCCTCTCCTAAGCACCTTTCTATAGTACAATCCTTGCTGGCCAGTCAATTTCTCTTTAGAATTGGAATTGTTACTAGGCTGACAGGAAAATCCATGCCACTCTCAGTAGGAGAGCTGGATCTAATAAGAATGCTTGATGAGTGATGGGGTTAAATAATGAGAAGGACTGCTTAGAGCATGACTAGCAGCTATCAGTTATCTTAAATAAAATTTTAAAAAGTAACATTTTTTAGTTTTATTAAATATTTAATATTACTTGATGTTTCTGATATTGAAACATTTTTAGTTCTTCCAAAGCAATTTATCTGAGAAGGTCAAAGTGACTAATGAATAAACATTCATTGTTAATTCCCGAAACATTATTATGAGTATATTAAAAATTGGGGTATGCTGGGCACTGTAGCTCACACCTGTAATCCTAGCTACTCAAGAAGCAGATATCAGGAAGATCATAGTTCAAAGCCAGCCTGGGCAAATAGTTCCATGAGAACTCATCTTGAAAAAACCCTTCACAAAAAAGGGCTGGTGGTGTGGCTCAAGGTGTAGGCCCTGAGTTCAAGCCTCAGTAAAGCAAAAAAAAAAAAAAATTGGGATATGAAGTGAGAAAAAAATGGATAATGACTTGTGCCAGGTCAACGGTTTGTTTGGAATAAACACCTAAGTCTGGGTATTTTCTTCTGGAATTGCTTAAACCCTTGATCTCCAATATCATAGAAGTTTCCAAAGGAAATATTACCTGCTAGTATATCAAGAGCATGGGTCTAAGAAGGCTTAATATACTTTTAAATACAACTTCTTGGCATCTAATAATAGAAACAGGTTGCGATCTAAGCATATTCTAAAGTCACAGCTGACAGCTGCCACAGCATTCACTCAAGTCATTTCAGTGGGAATTTTGTCAAGCACAACATGCTTTGTTCAGGAATCTCTATTAAGCACTAGGGATATGAAGAATCCAAAACAGATATCCTCCCTCATGGAGCCTACAATCCAGAGGGAGAAACAGACATGAGTTAGCCATGCATGCCACAAATACCTTTCAGTTACAATTCTGAAAACAGCTAGAAAGAACTAAGAGAGAGTGCTGGTTTCTCAAGCAGGCCTCAGGAGGCCTCTGTAAAGAAAGTGGCTCCTTTGAAATAGCATCTGTGCCTTTGGTGCAGGAAATAGGCTTGTGAATGAATCCTAGCTACCCTAACAGTGTCATGGACATGTCAAATGTAAAATTAATGTTCATCAGTTAAAAAAAATGTGAAATAGTTGATTGTATTCAATAAAGAATACAACCACATTCAAACATACAATTTAAAAAAGAGTAATACTAACATGCTGTATTCTTACCCCTATTGTTCCAAAACTTTCTGGCTTTCTTCTCATCTTTTTCTTGCATAGGTGTGTCCATATCCATTTGACCAGGTACCAGAGGGACTTGGGACTTGGGATGACATTGAAAGGAGTAGGCAGTGTACCTCCTTCTTCAAAATAACTCATCCAAAGCTTTGTTCGAGCAAATTTCCATTCTATATCTGCATGGTCCTGAACAGAAGAACATGACAACTGCTGACAGGTTTTTTAATTAATAAGGTGAGAGAAACCTCACAAAGAGTCTGAACCTGACTTTGAGTGGTTCTTAGAACATTAATTAAATTGCTTATAAAAACACTGCTAACTCCCAGAGATAGTCATCTAAATATTGCAGACAATGGCTGACCCTGTAAGGAGTCACTTCCTTCTTTGATGCAATAGACATCTTAAAATAACTGCATATTAAAGAGACTGAAGTGATCAGGTATGACTCAAGGTAAAGCTGCCTCTTTGGTACTCACATTAGCTCAGGTTCATTAGGTTCTGGGCAGAAGTGGCTTTATGTCTTACATCCTTGCTTAAATGGATACACCTTCACAGATGGTCATAACCTAGACTTTGGTGCTACCAGTAAGTGTCTTACTGGATATGTTCTATGTGAATAATTCTTGCCTACTTTCAGGAAATGAACATAAACTCACAGAGAAGTTCCTCTAATAAGTATAAAACGGAGTCTCTCTGTCACAGCATTGACTATAACTTGAGAAAACCTTTGCCAAATGTCACCAGATAAGAGTCTGTCTAGTGGTTTCCTATAAGCCAGAGGCAATACCCCTCATTATTTATTACACACTTTCAGTTAACTTTATCATTTATTGCTCATTCTAATTTATTAACCTCATAGGAAAACTTTGGAGCATCTATGGCAATGAGATATAGGGCAGCCAGGTCCTTCTTAAATTGGCTATAAATCTGATTTAAGCAGATAATATGGGAAGTTGAAAGTGGTAGAAATTGAGCATGCATTCTTTTTAAGAATTAAAATAGTTTATTTTAATCAATTAATATTATAAAAGAGAACACAGATTCTAGAGTAGGAGAATAATTTTAGACTATGCTAATATACTTAAATTGCTGTGTGATATATATATATATATTTCTACCCTGCATAACAAGAGTTTCCTGTAGATTGTAGACACCGGACAGATCATAATTCACTCAGTATCACCATACCTAGAAGATGCGTGGCCTTCATTGTTGCTGATGAAATGGTTGCGTGTATTAATTGATAGACAGAAATATAACAGCTATAGTTCCTTCTCCATTCCTGTCCCTTTTCTATTTTGGCTTATTTCCCCTCTTCTTTCTGAGCACACTTACAGGTTAGATCTGGTTATGCTACATTAGCGAAGAGAACTACATCCTGTTTGCTCTAGTCCTAGAGAAGGGAACTCAGTAGAATTGGCTCAAAGGTATAAAAAGGCAGACATTTACATAAAGCATTGGCCTGTGAGTAGCTCCTTCTCATTCTCAGGGAGTCCCTGGCTCTCAAGGAGTCATGAATTGAGGGTTAACCTGACATTGTTATGTTCCTTTGTTGCTACCACTAGGCAGTGGTAGCTGGTTTGTGGTTTGGGATTCTGAGAAGGGCTAAAAATCTGGAGATGAAAAGTTCTAAGTTGGTGATGACCAAACTCCCTTCCTCATTCATCATCTAACTTCTACTCAACATTTTAACCTTCACTTTCATCTCTCCCAAGAAGCCTGCATTCATTCCCACCATCTTTAACTCTCTTCTCTCCCTAACTTGTCAAGACCTTTTCTTCTGTACTTTCATAACATTCTCAAAATTTTTGTCAATATTGAAATTCTTTATTGATTTTCTGTCACTACTACATTAATTTTCCTTGAGAGCAGGGACTTTTAAGCTCCTTCGTATTCCTAAAAGTCAAGCTTATGTCTGAAAATATAGTCAGTGAGCAACAAATAAGTGATCAATTGAAAAATGTGTGAGTGGGAAGAAGGCTTTAGTTATGGCTTGCATGATTCCTTCTGTTCTTGCTGTTGTTAACTTTTCTTCCCTTTTAAAGACTTGTCATATGGCTCTGAGTTAGGGGTATCTCTGAGTTACTTCAGAGTAAGATCTGCTATTCTGGAACAGAGGAGAGTCAAATGCCAAGGAAGCTTCACACACAAGGTGCTGAGAGGTACAACCGTCTCAGGTTCTCAATGCCCATTCTTCTCCCATTACTTATAGTGTTTATCTAAACAAAAAGAGTGTTTTAAAGATGATTTTCATATCTGTGATGAAGTTTTCTAGAAAAACATGTCCTACAAAGAAGCAATAAGAAAATGTTACACTATTCTCAAATACTGTTCCCTTTTTGATGAAATTAGGACATTTAATCTTTTATAGGGCCTAAATTGTTGGCAGCCTGTCTGCACATAGTATGACAAGTAGAGGCTTTTTAATTTAATTTCGTTGTTGTTGTCATTCTGGAAAAAAAAATCTACATTTTTGAATTGTACTGACTAGATGAACACAGAACTTCTGAAATAAATATAGGGAGACTGTAAAGTTTCAGATCGCAAATGCTTAAATGAAGCTATATACATCTACAAATTGAAATATTCCCCTCCAAATCCTAGGACTTCAGTAGAGCTAGAGGAGTTAGTATGTATTGCAAATACTTCTGTTTGTGAACCAGTAAACAAAAATAATGGATTCTTATGTCTTATGTAGTTTTTCACCAGTGACAGGAATCTCTTAAGAAAAATTTGCCTCCATAAAGAAAGCTTAAGTACAACTGAGGCTGATAGGAGAAGGGGACCAGGAACTAGAGAAAAGGTTAGATCAAAAAGAATTAACCTAGAATGTAACACACACACACAGGAAATTAATGTGAGTCAATTCCCTGTATAGCTATCCTTATCTCAACCAGCAAAAACCCTGTTCCTTCCTATTATTGCTTATACTCTTTCTACAACAAAATTAGAAATAAGGGCAAAATAGTTTCTGCTGGGTATTGAGGGGGTTGGGGGAGAGGGAGGGGGTAGGGTGGGTGGTAAGGGAGGAGGTGGGGGCAGGGGGGAGAAATGACCCAAGCCTTGTATGCACATATGAATAATAAAATAATAAAAAAAAAGAAAAAAAAGAAAGCTTAAGTAAAACTCAGAGTGCTGCTTAATAAAAACAATCCTAGTTACACTTCAATGAAACAATCCAGTTATAGTTATATATGGAAAAATGGATGATCTATAATTGTGTTTATCAAATACTACTTATCTAAAGTATAAATATGAAAGTCTTCAGAAATATATTTCATACCAGTATGAATTTCGTTTATTCAATTTATTTTTGAGAAGTACTGGAATTTGCACTAGGACCTCCCACTTGCTAAGCAAACTCTGGACCACTTGGGATATGCCTACAGTCCTTTTGCTTTAGTTATTTTTCAGATACAGTGTCATGCTTTTTGTCTGGAGCTGGCCTTCACTGTGATCCTTCTGCATCCTGTGTAGCTGGGATTATTTTAAAATGACATCTTACTACCATTCTGTGTGGACTAGCCTCAAACCTTGATCCTTCCCAGCCCTCTTCTAAAGTATCTGGGATTATAGTATGCACCACTGCACCTGAATCATGAGTTTTATTTTGTTATTACAGATATTAGCCATAGTCATAGATCACTAGTTGTGATCAAGTGGTTAAAGGACTTTGTCTCATTCTTGGCAGTATTTCTAGCTCCTTGAACAGCACTTTGCAACAGAGTATTACTCAATCTGAATTTTTAAAATTGATGAATAAATTAAGCTGTTTGCATTCCAGAGTTTCAAATGAACATATATTGTAATACAATATTTTCCTAGAGCATTCAACATAACTTTTATATTTCTTTATCTAAGATTTAAGACATAAAAAGCCCTATTTTTTTCTCTGCCAGACCTCTCTGTGGAGTTCCTTTTTATCATGCCAACTTGGCATGAGTTTGGTAATGGCAAGATGGCAGGTCAAATGGCCAGACATAATGCACAACCCAATGGGTACTTCATAGAGATGGGCTGCCAGTTGTTGAGTTGCACTTCACCTATTGCTCGTCATAGCCAATGATTCCTTGACAAGATAAATTTGTTTTATTTTTTCTAATGATATGTGATGTGACAAAATTAGTCATATGGTATAATATCACTCAGAAATGAAAGGGTAATCACTTATTGTACAGTTGTGATCGTGTGTTAGATCGTGTGTTGCTTTAATAAGATATAATATAGCTAGGAACAATATATTCTTGAAGGAATATGGAATTAACATAAAGTTATTCAACTTACAGCAATTAGTTGGTAAGAATTATTCATCATAGCTATTAACATGTTGAGTAGGACAACCAGAGAGATGACATTGTATGTCCCAAACATGGTGGCACCAACAAACTCAGTGAACTCATGCTGAGCTTTGACGTTGGTCACATATAAATTGATGAGCCCAAATATTGACCAAAACAGGGATTGGAGTGTTTCAAATAACCTGGAATAAAGATAAAATGACACAAATGGCTATGCTGAACCATTATATAGTAAAGTATAGCAATAGAACTCGGTATAACTATATATATATATATATAGTTATATAAATATAGTTAATTTAATATACATATCAATAGCAAAATAAAATCTTATGACAAGTGTCAAAGTAAACTTAACAAAAACAATTAAAGAAAATTGCTTTAATCAAACTAGCAATAAAGAGTCTTAATTTTCATAGATATATCTAATTTTCCCAAGAGCACTGAAAGCCACATTTAGTTTCTTAGGGGAAGGACGTAGAAAAGATACTTGGATCCTATTTTTGCATGATTACTGGGTTAAGAATGTTTTTTGCTTTTTCAAATGGTTAGGAGAAAGTCAAAAGAATAGGATATTTTGAAATGTGAGAATTATACAAAATTCATGTTTTAATATTCATAAATAAAATATTATGAAACATAATGATTCTCAGTCATTTATGTATTTTCTAGGGTTTATTTTGTGCTAGCCACAATGGCCGAAATAAATAGTTATATCAGAGAACATGTGACTCACAATGCCTATTTATAATTTGTTATTTTTAATACAAAGTTTGTTGATTTCTGTCCTAGGCTCTTGAGGGATAGTTAATAAGTGATAGATCCTAAAGCCTAGGTTTTTTCAGAAGTCTGGTCTTTTACATAGTTTTGCCTTTGGTTGTAGGAGGACTAAAAATAAAATCATCATTATAGATTTTTCACATTTACAATTAAAATTGTATGTAGTACATCCTATAAGATGATGGTAAAGGGTCTAAGTATTCTTAGGTAATAAACTTTGCAATTTTTTTGTATTTCATGACATATTTTATTCAGTGTAGCCAATAAATGAACTCTGGTGACTTTACTGACAGTAAATTTAGTTTCCTTTTATGTACTCTGAAAAACAGAATAATCTGAAGAGCATTTGAACCCAAATGGATGTTTGTTTCAATGGGACGATTACAGTGCATCAATATAATGTAATAGAAAGATGACAGCCCTTTAATGTTCTTTGAAAATAATTAAAGTAAGACTATATTTAAGTTATAGTGTAAAAACACAAAGACCTTTTCATAACTGGCATGCTGAGTAAGGAGGCAGGATTTTAGTCTTTAGGGAGATTAGCATTAGAGTGGAATCAAATTGTGGAGCCAAGTCAGTCATGTTTTCTGGTGGATCCAAGCTCCTGTGACTTTATTACACATCCTTTCATGGAGTGGCAGTCCTGATATAAGTAGCTAGAGTTCTTCATTCAGTACCTCAATGGATTAGGTCATCCATGGTCAAGTGACCCAAGGAGAGACAATTCAGATGAGGCCAGTAGCCTATGGTCTGGACTAAGGTGAAGAGGATCAGATTTTCATTCTAGGCAGGTTTGCCTGGAATATGCTTAGAAATATCAAGATAATGAGATAGTGGCCAAAAGAAGCTGAGATGAAAGAATTTATGATGCATAGTCAGGGCAGTTGGAATAAAGGAATGCCAAAAGTTTGAGACAGTTCACACAAAGAGGCAGAGAAATGAGGGTAGATAAGCCATGCAATAAGTAAACACCAAGGAAATATGCAGAGTAGCTGAATCATATCAATGTACAGAATAGAAATTCCATGGTCCTGCTTTATGTCAACTTCTGTTCTTCCTATGCCTTGCTTTAGACTCTGTCCTTGCTAAGATCAAACCTTGCTTGGATGATCAAAGGGCTATAATTCTCTGCATGATTCTGAAACAAAATGAACTTGAACTAAGCCATAAGTTTCTGGCTCACATGTCCAAAAATGTCTAATTACATATGCCTAAATTGACATGTATGACTTATTTCCCCAAATTTATTGCTTTTACAAAAAAGTAAACAGTTTGATAGTTTTAATTGAGCAATAGATATGAGATGAAATTTAATTTTTATTCCTATAGCTGTTAAATGATGCAACACAAATTATTATAAAATACTACAGATATGATCTGTTCACCGTCGATCAGAATAAGGAATGCTGTGCATTGTGTGAAAGGGTGATGACACATTTCTAAAAGACAATCCAGAAGTCAGACCCCAATAATATCTGTGTTACTGAAGTTAAATTTAATTTTTCGACCCTAGACAAAGGTCACTAAAACTTATTCTTTGAAACATTCTCAGGAAAAAGTAAATTTGGACCATGATCATGATTACTTCATTTTTACTAACTTTCAGGCATCCTTTGTGTTTACTACGAAATAATTATGTACTGTCTTTCCACATATTGTATATTTTTACTGTTAATATACAACTATAATTCATCTGGTTTTCTCCTGATAGCAATAGCAGTTTTGAAAAAGCTACAAGCTAACTGACACAAATTATATAATAAATTATATAAAATATTAACACATAAATCCCATAACAGTTGCTCAAGTGTTCTAATAAAAACAGTGAGTTGTTATGGATGAATAGTGCTTATTTGTTTCTGTTTAAATAAGAACTACTAATACCAAGGGAACTTTGGTAAATACTTTGACAAATATTGATGGACATTTTAAAATTAGAATCTGAGAAGGGGAAATTAAAAATAAAATGACATGTTTTTATTCACTGCAGATTTTATTCTTTCTTTAATATTCCTTCTTTCAGTGGAATAAATCACTGATGAGATTTACAGAATATTTCCACCTAACTAAAATATGTATTCTTCTCAGATGAATTAATACTTTGGTGTTGTTATTTCTAAATGAATCATTCTATTATTAGATGAATTTTTAAAAAAATCAACCTAGGTTAACATTTCAAATCCATTGCTTCCAGAAATATTTGATCATCTGTGATTCTCAAATCTATTGAGACCAACATTGCCCATAAATTTATGAATCATTAGCTGCATCACATTTCAGAATGCCTTTACGTGACTAATATTTTCCTTGGTCTGTAGGGTAAAAAAAGCCTACAATTTCCCAAGATAATGCCACAGCTTAATTAATGACAACACAAAATCTGTGTCTGTAATGAAGCCTAAACTGAAGACTAACTCTGTATGGGTTGAGGTTCTTCCTTCCTCTCTCCCTCCCTCCTTCCTTCCTTCCTTCCTTCCTTCTTTCTTTATTTTTATGAGAGTTCATGCTTGTAAAGCAGTTTGCTCTACCACTTGAGCCACACCTCCAGTGTGTGGTTATTTTGGAGATGGGGGTCTCTCAAACTATTTGTCAAGGCTTTGCCTCAAACTGTGATTCTCCTGATCTCAACATCCCAAGTAGCTAGGATTACAGGCATGAGTCACCAGTGCCTGGCTAGAGGTTCTGCTTTCTTAAAGATAGTATTTTACCTATTGTTCTTTGAAGATATTTTCCAGCCATTACTTTTTAAAAATTAACTTGTTATCTAAATATTTGCAACTTGAGAAGCTGCACAAGTGAAAAATATAATGTATTCCTCAGCTGAGGTTTTCCATTAATGAGCAAATATAAATTAATACTTATCTGAATATGTTATCTTTATTTTATAACCAAAAGTATAATATTAAAATAAGTATGATCCTATTTAGTCAGTTCCAACCATTAGAAATTCACCTCCCATCACTATAAAAGAGTCTTTCCTATTGAGATAACTGTCATAATGGTCATGCTCATCTCTTCAAAGAAGAGTCCCTTACCAGGACTTGTGGCTTAAAATTGTGTGTGGAATAATTTCAGTGACTAAACATTTGGTGTCTTTAAGAGACATGCAGTTCTTCCCATGTTAATGAAAAAACAAACTGGAAGCATGAAAAGCATGGGAAGAAGTATCCCTTCTATGATGAGAAACAGAAAGACATAGAAAACACAGACCATTGTCTCTGCCCACAGGTAGCTCACAGTTATAGCCAGGTAGGTGATCTGGAAGGATATCCTGGAAAAGGTATATCTGAGAAAAGATTTGGAAAAAGAATATGATGTTACTAAGTGCAAGGGCGTTTCTTGGATGAAGATTATAGAATCAATTTAGCAGTGTTGAAGAGTAAACTATTACTGGGGAATTGAGAAAGATGTGACTAGAGGCAGAAGCAAGGGGCAGATCACTGAAGGACCTAGCAGGTCAAGCTAAGGGCTATGACTGAATCTGGTAAGAAATGGAAAACCATTTTGGTTCTCTACACAGAGGATTCTTAGATTTTGGTTTAGAAAGATCATTCAGAAAGCAGCATGGGAGATATATAAAAAGAAGCAGAACCCAGGGAAAGGGGTACTTTGACTTGGGCATGGGAAGTAAGCAAAGGAAGATAGTGCCAACATAATAAAGATCAGGAGGAAGCATTTAATGACTGATAACATTTGGGAAGTATGAGGAAAGGAAAGATCTAGATTAACCCCAAGATTTTCATTTTATTAACTAGGCAGTTTGTGGTAATTGACAAAGGGATTTGAAGATGAAGAAGACGAGATTTTGAGAGAGAATGGTGAGTTTTTTACTGATTGAACTTGTTTTTAAAGGACAGGTATGGAGAGGAGGCCAAAGAACAGTTAAGCCTTCTGTACGGTGTAGGAACAAGGATCTATGCTAGTTATGGAAGCCATTTCTTAGACACAAACAGCCAAATTTATATGCATAGATGAGTGTGCACGGAAAGTCTGTAGTTAGTATGCAGAGAGAGAGAGAAAGAGAGAGAGAGAGAGAACACTATTTAAAAGCAATAATTGAAATACAGTTATCAGAGAAAAGTCAGAGAAATAAGAAGTAAAGTGGAAAAATATTAACGTGGAAGTTAAAGGACAAGTTCTCAAAAATATGGAAGTGTTAAATAGGGTGAAATTAAGAAGACACATTGAGTAAAATGTAAGCAGGTAGATATCCACCAGTAGTAGTGAAAAGAAGGCCCTAGTTTATATTTCCCAGAGGGGTTTTAGTGGAGTGATGGAAGCAGAAGTCAAATGACAACTGGATGAATAATGAATGCTAGTTATAGAAAGGAGATTTCCTTAAGTGTTGATTGGATGAAAGGAGGAAGAAGCACAGGAATGGTAGCAATGAGAAACACAGCTTACAAACTCTTAGCAGACATTTATATGCTGAGTGGAAGGTGTAGGAATTTTATGAAATTAGGAAGAAATAATACTCTCCTATTAACAGTAATGACAAGGAAAGGAATACCTACCATTTTTGATAATATTACGTGCATTGTGTTAGGTACTTTACATGAATTGTGTTTTTTAAACCTCATATAGAATAAGATCTGTAAAGCAGTATGTAGTGAAAAATAGCCTGAAATTTATAGAAGGTTCACAATTACAAAAATAAAATTGAAAACCAACAAATGCATCAAAATAAGATGCCAAGCAGGAGCCCTGAAGCATCACTCTACATCCTTTCACAGTGGTTGATTTCATTAAGCTGAAATCAGGGTCATTAAAGGACAGGGAACTTAGGACTACTGTATTCAGTTTAATAATGCTAGGAGTTAGTAACATAACTTTTTTATTTTTGAATGTCTTTGAGCAAAAATAAATTGTTGCTTGCAGATTTATATTCCATTACTTGGAAAAAATAATTTAGATTATTTATTTGGGTTGAATGATTTGTGCCTATAAGTTGAAATGTGCAATTATCTGCTGCTTTTCATGATGATGGAAGAAACCATTGACAGAGATTGAACTAAAAAATATATATGATCCAAACAATCCAATATACTTATTCTTGGACTACAATTTAAGTATTTTGCATAAGACTTGTTGAGCCACAATCTTCTTGGACAGATATTATAATTAGTTTGTACTATGTAATTATTTACCAAGAAGCCAATAATAACAGTAAAGGAATTAGTGGTAATTTTAAGGCATCACAAATCAAGACAGTGTTAAATGTGACCCTGTGGCTTGGTGAGGAACTGGGGGATGGGAGAAGGACTGTGACATGAAACGAATCTTTTCCCTAAGGTAAAGAGAGCATGGGAAGTAACACAGTTCTAGGTGTTGAGTGGAAGTTCTTTCTGGAAGCATGGAATCCAAAGGATATGGGAACAGCCATTATGAGGTGGTGCTGTAAAGTACTTTGCATCAAATAAAGTGACAAAAAAGTTGTGAAAGATGGAGCATATAAAAGGACTGTGTCAGAAATCCAGGAGACCAGGCAGCCAACAGACAATATCCAGAAATGTTGCTAGAGCCATAATTCTCATTTGTGAAGAGAGAGGTTAGTAGGATCTGACCATTGTAAATCCCTAGTCCTAAAAGTTTTGGGCAAGTTAGCAAAGCAAGGAGCACGAAGGGAAAAGGATAAGTTCAGACATCAGCATTGAGATGCCATCTAAGATCATAAGGAATGTTACTGCAGGAAGTTGCACTGTGTCTCTCCTGTCCTGGGTCAGAAAAGAGCAGGAGGAGGATGCCAATGCTGAGTAAGCTGGTAAGGCTGATGGCCAGCTGCTTAAGAACAGAAGGATAAAGTAGCTGGGAGCCAGGGATGAAGTGACAAGGGGGAAGCTGAAATGATTTTATGGTTTTTTCATGACTCATGTTTTCTATCAAATCTATTTCTGAAAGGAGTTTAAATACTAAGGCTGAGATTAAAAATTACCAGCAAATAAACAGATGTTGGTCAATTAAAATGGAGTTTTAAATATCGTGATCAAAGATAAAACAGTTGTCTGATTAAATCAATAAAATAATTTTAGCTATAGCTGATTTAAGTTAAACTATTGATTTCCTCCCAGGTGAGAAATTATTGTCTTCTCTTACACTACCTGCAATCCTGTGATGGCCTTCAAATAAGGTCCAGCTTTTAAAGTCATCTACAAAATGACCATATATTCACATGTGATTAATGTGTGCAGGAAAATCACCAAGCTTCTTAATCTGTTAACTACCTGTTTATTACCATGGGAGGGAAATGGGCACAGATAGATAGAAGTGGACTCTGTGTGAACTGAGGAAACTCAAACATGGTGCCCATGAACCTGTGCTGTCAGCAAAACTGGTTATGAGAAACTGCAGAGCTTGATTGTGGATGTTGACAGTTGCTCATTCCAATGTAAGAGCACAGAGAACTTATTACGCATAATAACAATGGTTAGGATACTCTTGGGTTTCCATTTTGGGTTACTTTTGGATGCTTAGATTTTTTTTGTTGGTATTGAAGTTTGAACTCGGAGCCTGTTGCTCACTAGGCAAGTGTTCTGCCCCTGAACCATGTCCCCAATCCATTTTTGTTTAGTTGTTTTCTCAGATAAGGTCCCCATGGGGCCTGCCTCAGATCATGATCCTTCTACCTATGCCTCACATGTGGCTAGAATTATAGACATGAGCCACCACGACTGACTTATTCCAGGGCTGACCTCGAGCTGCAGTCCTCTCATCTCCACTTCCTAAGTAGCTGGGATTACAGCATAAGCCACCACACCAAAACTTCAGATACTTATATTTTTGTGTAGGGAGCTAGAAAATGAACGAGATGTGAAGGAAATCTGGAAATACATGAGGAAACATTGGGAAGCAATTGGATTTTCCAACATGATGGATTTTATATATATTCTATCTTTAAATGTACTTGTAAGTTGTCAATACTACATAGGCTTCCGTTTTTATTCACATTTAAAAACCGTATATATATATATATATATATATAAATAGCTTTCATTTTCATGAGTTGTTTAAAAGAAAGGATGATTTATGAAAACTTAAATGTAGAGGTAATTTTTTAATGTCAGAGAACTCATTTCTATTCAAAGCCATGTTAATTTTGTTTTCTGCATTATGCATAATTTTAACTTTACATTTCCTTTGCAACCATTCGTCATGAATTTTTCAAGTTCAGGATGCAGTGCACTCTAAATTCTGGCCAATGTTACTATTAGAAATATCTCTCCAACTTACGTTGAGAATGCGTTGTTCTGCTTTTCACACCGTATGCCTTTGCAGCTCAAACCTTTAGTTTCTTCATAATAGAAGTATAATTGATTTAGGCCATTTGCAAATGCTAGCAATACAAGGCAGTATATGAATAGAAACTTCAAAATGTCCAGGAGCATTCTTCCCAGAGATATTTGTAGAGGTCCCAGGTGAGAATTTGCAGTAAACAGCGAGATCAGACGCAGAGAACTGAAGATGTTTGCAATAGCAAATAAAGCCTCAGCCACCAGCGTGGGATGCCACATGTCCCATGACTCTCGCGGATTAAGAGCACTGTACTGGAGAAAAACAGAAACAAAGAGAAAGTAAGACTTACACATGCTATGCCTATGTCAAGTTCAGGCCTGGGATGCTTTTTCCAGTCGATCTAGCACCATGGTCTATCATCTGCAAGCTGACGTCCTCTACAATGGTGTCAGCAACATGAATCTACTTTGTAGATCTACTTTGCAGGCCTGTCCTTGTCATTTATGGTTGTTGTTGATATGTTAATCACATCTGCCTTTGAACTTTCCAACAGAACTTAAACAAAAAAAAGGGAAATGTTATATAGAGAAAAATAGCAGTATCAAGGTAGTAAAGAACACTATATTGTTAATGAGGACAAAGTTTTGAACAAAATAATCAATAACCTTACTCACGTTTGACACACTTGCCAATTCTAGAAGTATACATGTAGATACATATCCTACAGGAATGGGTGGGGGGTTTCCTTTTGCCTTGGAAATAGTAATGTCCAATAGGCACAAATATCTAGAATATCCTCTGTATAAATACAACCTAACTTGGAATCTTATTGGTGGTCACTGAATTGCTTTTTTCATATTTAATGTGTAGAAAATTCTGACTTTCATCCAATTTGTTAATTAGAAAAATATGTGACTTGAGAAAAAATGTTTGCTACTTTAAACATTAACCAAAAGTTATTTTAAAAGTCAATTAATTAAAATGTTAGCTGTGTGCTATCTTGATGCTGTACCATATAGAAAGCACAGAGAAGTTTATCCCTGTATTATTGAAATAATTTGTTTCTTTGTCAAAATGAATCAAATACAGTTTTTAAATTACTGTAGTACAAAACCTATAATTAAATCTGTATTAGAACTGAAGAATTAAATTCTCTTCTTCATACACATCACTGAAAAATGGAAAAAAGGAGGAAATTTTACTTCTATATATTCAGCATCAGAATATCATCATTCTTTTTATAGTTCATTATCATGAGGTGACTTTTATATATGTTAAACAATTAATTCTCCTTGAATCTAATAGATAGCAATGTTTAATTTCCCTGGGGAGAGAACACATCCCAAGCTATCAATCTTACTAAACACTTAGACTCTTGCTTGAATGACAGTGTTTAACAAGCAAGTTTGAACTAGAAGAAAATTATTTTCTATTTTTAAATCCTGATATATGTTCTTGAACATTTCTAGGCCTAACTTCATTATAAAATAGCTAATGACCAAAGATGCAGAAGAAACAGTTAGGTATGTCTTATTCATCAAAACAACTATCATCGTGAGATTTCGGGTACAAAACACCACTAATTTGTTCCCCTTAGCTTCCTATGTGATGTTTCCCTTCAAAGGCCAGGATCACATATTCCTTTCTTCATTTCTCTCTTGAAAGACACACATATTTAAGTAGAAAACAATTCCCCTTATGTTGATAGTTAATACTATTCCTTTTTTTAAGCTTTTTTTATAACTTAGAAATATACCTCAAAATGTACAAACTATAAAACATTAAGTATTCATAGGGATGCAGTAATTTTTTGAAAAAATTTCTCACAATATTCAATACAATGTATTGCATACAGTGGATACTTAAAAAGCATTTTCTCCCATCAAGTACTCATAGGCCAGTGACAGAGACAGACACAACTAATTATAATAAAAATGCTCTGAGAGGGTAATACAAAGGGCTGGAGGAGTGATTAATTCTGTCTGGGGCTTATGAGGTTAAAATTGAGAGTGTATATGACAACATATAAGTATTCAGAGTTCTTCAAATATAGGGCAGATGCTCTGCCTTTTTGTAGCTTTGACATCAATTCGTGGCAGCCAGATCTAGAATCCATTATCACATTGTGATAGAGTCCAGCTCTACTACGTATCTAGTATGTATAGATACCTCCTTTTTAGTAAATTATCTCAGCTGGTGAAATCTTAAAAAATATGAGATGCTAGATTCTGCCCTGTAATAATTACCTACATTGTATTCAGAGTCTAATGTTTCTGGTAATGTTACATGAATACATTCAAGTTATGGATAGTCAAGGCTTTCTGAGCAAAATATTGCTGGTATCTGGGTTAAATAATGTTTCAATGGCAAACAGTCCTTGAAAGTTAAAGAGAGAGACTCCTGAGAGACTTAAAAATATCCCCCCTGGAGCTATCTGTTTACATTCTCAGGATAATAAACCTAGGGATCTTGCTCCCCAGAGATAACGTATTTACTTAATAAATTTAAGGTCTTTTTCTTTCCTTTGTCAGGGGAAACATGGGCGGCTGGCTCAGCTGCATCATATAAATTCTAAGATTCATAATTTCTGGTTTCCTCCCTTGTGGAACAAAGCCCTGCATACACAGGGTACCTCTGGTTCTCATCATGTCCCCTAGTCGGGAATTGGGGCATGGGGAACTGATGTTAAGATTGCAATGTAAGTAAATGACTTTCTGTTCTCTAATCCAGAAACCTCATTTCATGTCTGAGATAAATAAAGATGTAAACATTTAGTAATTATTTCTTGATTTCTTTCCTTTAAACTTTGCTTTAAAATTTTTCTCTTGTTCTTCATGTATACATTTTCTCAAGTTTTTAAATATAGTCATTGTTTTATGAAGCAATTAAAAAATTCTAACAAGTCATGATGTTCTTTGAATTTGTAGAGAATAATCATAATTTTCCAGTCATTAATTGTATTTTTAAAATCTATTAGTGGGTATTAAAATATTAACTTGGAATTTAAGGTTTTTTCACCTTTGTACCTTCACTTCTCTGCTGTGTTTTCACATATCCTTTTCAGGTTGCTCTGTTTCACCTGCCCTTAAATGCCGAGTTTGCTTTTCAAGCCTCTTCTCATTTCATCAGCTTTCCTCGATATTTTCCCATGGTTTAATCTTCCAGAGATGCCTCCTTCTCCACATCTGTCACCCAGACCTCTCATCTTACAGCCCAATATTACATTCCACTCTCTGGTTGACTTTTCTGTTGGATATCTCACAAGTATCTCAGACTCACAGACTGAAAATAAAACCCATCACCTTTGGATCTTCTACCCTTTCTCCATGTTTGCCTTCTAATCTTAATAAATGGTCACAAGTCAACCAACCCAAAATTTTCTGTGCATTCTCAAATCTTCCCTCCAAAAATCCCCTGAACTCAAATCTTGCGCATGGTCTTCCTTCTCTCCCATGGAACCCTCACTGCCTTAAAACAGGTTCTCTTCTTTGCTCAGTTGATACGATTGCTTCCAAACTGTTCTCCTTGCCTTCAACCTTATTTCCCCAATCATTTATTTCTCCCAAAGTGACATTAAAAAGAGGAAAATAGACCACGTCAAATATTTTTTACTATCTTTCAGGACTGCATTGTCTTTAGAATGACATTTTGACTTCCCTACACATCAAAATAAGCCCCTGGAATCTATGTTCTGACTTTTTAAAATTGACTTGTCACTTGTCCCCAGTTAGGAACCAAAGCTGTGGCTCAAACTTTTAGTAGTAATGATTCCCCATATTATTACACATTTTGGCAAATTCTTACCAAAATCCATCTCTTGAATGTTGGGCACTTTGCTTAGAATGAATTTAAATTCCAATTATTTTGATTCTTCAGCTGTTATTCATTCATCAAATATATGTTGAGTACCTACTCTGTGTCAAACACTATCTTCAGATTCACAGTAACAAGAAAGGAAGATACAGTTCATGATATGGATTTAGAATATAGTTAAGGAAGCAGATATTAATTAAGTAACGCTCATCTTTCCCTTTGAGCAGTGGTGAGTGGACACAAGGATACTGATGATCAGAGCTGGTAGCCTCCTGTAGAAAAATCCTAGATAGAAAATTCCAGGGTATTCTAAACACTGTGAGGATTTTTGATCACCAAGTCTATTTTTACTCTTTCAAGTATTTGCTTTTCACCTAACCCCTGCTATAATGTAGTTTTTGCCCTGACCCTTCTTTCCTGTTGAGATTCCTTTCTAAGAGAATGGCTTTTTAATAACATGTACAATAGTATATAGACTGCTGAATGACTAGTAGTTTTTTCTGAATGGAGCTTTGTCCGTGGGTTTTAAAGGCTGGACATGTAGCAGGGTGCCTTATATTTGTTAAAAGCTCCAATATCACTCTAGGGAAAAGAGTCACAGACGTATTCAAAGACATGGTGTTTAGAGACTGCATATCCTTTGTAGAAATGTGTGTAGCTTGATGCAGTTGGAACTCAGAGGGTTTAGGAACAATAAGATGAGTCTGAGAGGGAGCTGGAGCAAGGTCTTGAAGACCTTGGCAGAAGTGTTAAAAGAAGATGGATTGAATCATAATACTGGATCATAAATTCCTTGAGGATAGAAAAATGTGTTAGTTCATCTTCTCATACTTTATAACCTCTGATGGATACTTATGAAAACTAAGGAGTCAATCAAAATGAGTAAAACTTAAGTGAATATAGTATGAAAATATTTGTGACTATAGCTGGATTTGGAATGTCCTCCAAAGGTCCATGTGTCGAAGGCTTGGTCTCCAGCTTGCTGCCATTGGGAGGTGGTAGAACATTTGGGGAAGCAGTGGGAAGTTTGAAACCAATGAGTGTCATGCCCTTGAAGAGGATTATGAACCCTGTTCTCTTCTGTTTTTCTTTCTTTTCTGACTAGGAGGCGAACAGTTTGCATACCTCATGGTTTCAGATGGACAAAGACCTCCAAAAGTGCCAAAATAACTCTTTATAAATCAGTTATATCAGGTATTTGTTACAATAACAGAATGCTGACTAGCACATTTGTCATATGAGATTGGGTAGAAAATATGTATTAGTTTTAATGAGTATTTTATAAGATGAAAGTTTTGGTCTTTGTGTAAATGTGTTAAGTAGTAAAAGACAATAGGAAGGCATAGGATTTTCTTCTGTAGCAGAAAATTTTAGATTAATCAAATAGGATTCAAATCTCTACAGTTCTCTTCCATATCTTAGAAAATCCCATACTTTGCAAAGTAGACTCTGCTTACATCATTCATAAGATGTATGCAACAGTATTTGTATCCTTCCT